GCTTCTTAATTCTTTCATTTTAGTGAATGAAAGTCGCTTAAAAACTATGAAAAATGAGTTGTACTTCTCCTTTTCTTGAAACAAACAATTTTTATGGCAATTTTTTCTGTTACTCACTTTGTGTTCAGAATTTATTTGCGCAATAAAGAGTGGCGATCAGTTAGTTACTAATAAAGCAAAATTCAGAAGGTCCTTATTTTCTTTAGGTATTTACTAAATATTATAGTCCAATGCAATTATTATAATCGAATTTAATATAGCCACTTTAATAAAATCTTATCAGTTAAAATCAGTTTTGTCTGAACGCAAGCGGAAAAGTTTTTAGGAGTCCTGCCAGGGTCGAACTTTTGCCATTATTCTTTCCGTATCGCCCAATGATTAAAAAAAGCAATTATTTCTTGCGATGATGATTTTTTTCCTTTATCTCTAATTTCCTTCCTTTTTCTCCTCGTTTTTTGGCCGGAATAATCTGCCATAATAGTTAAAAATCATAGTGTTACCAGTGAACTTACATTTTGTCAATCACCGATTGTTTCTTTGGCGAGATTGAATGCTTTTCAATTGAATAATACTGCCAATTATTATGTGTACGAAGAGGTCTTGGCAGTTTGCGTTTAAATTTAGCGTATTCCTAGTCAAAAAACTCAAGAAATTCATGTGCCAAACGAAAATCGCTTACAGTCACTTATCCTAATGGCACGTGCATTAGGCAAAATGGGGTCTCGAGATGCTATTGTAGTGGCCGGAGTTGAAATACTCGTTGTCGATTGCGACACTTTATCTCATACAAGCGAAATGTGCCTAGTCTTAAAGTGCGATGAAAAGGCTCGATCCGCTAGACTACGTGGAAATTTGTTAATGACCAACGTTTTGTGACCACTGCGCCACCAATATGAAATGGACTCTCCTTATGGACTCGTCGCAAAATTACCATTACGACGAAATTTATGCTTTCTTTCTTTCTTAAGCTGTAGATCACCATAATAAAGATAGTTTTTAAACAGATTATTGTACTTGCTATTAGCATCTCTCTCTCTCCAGATAGGACAGGCGCATAGGATACAACCAACTTCTAACAATTCTATTACTGGTTAGACTGGCTCCGCTGGTTACAAGAATAAGACATCTCCAAGCTGTTCGACTGAGCGAGGCCCGACGCCATCGCTGACAATAATAGAAGCCAATATTTTATCCATCGTAAGTCCATATATCGCTGGTCTTCCTACACGTTCAAAATCGTTCCTGACTGTATCAGTCCAAGCCTTATTTGGCTGCCCTCGCTTTTATCACTATTACAAAGCAAGATTATTGAATAAGCAGCTTCTGTTTTGGACAGCCAATATGTCCTAACCAGCGATGGTACTTTTAACGCATTTTTGAGTGAAGATGGGTACAGTCGTGCGAGATTTATGTTTCTTAGACATGAATGATCAAAATGAGAACCTTAATTCTCCACACGGCCATATCTTGCAGCTATATAGCACGATCAAGCGAATCGCAATCATATAGACGCGGACATTTCGTCGTAATGGTAATTTTGCGACGAGTCCACAAGGGTTTCATCAACCAGAAGAAAGCATTTCT